ATAAACCACTATCGTACTACACAGCCTCCCTCCTCTTTTGAGCGTCGTCCCCGGCGCTCCCACAGGTCAACCTTCCGCGTCAGCCATTACAACGCAGTCGGTGCAGTAAAGAAACACCCACGAGCCGACCGTGCCAGTCACCAGATTAGCGCGCAACTGAGGGGATACTTGACCTCAACGTCACTGATCCCCCTTGGCGGCTTGACTGGATCTGGGGTTTCGTCCGGTTTAGGGATTTGTTTCAGGACGGGGAACTGCGTCGGCCAACATGCGTGTCCATAGATAGATGCAGGAACACTGGTCTAAAAGCAGATTCGAATAAGGAAGTACAAGATTTAAAACAGGTCCATGGGGGATGGTAGGGGAAATCCGTAACAAAACTTTCAAATGTTTCACGGCTAGTGTTGCTTCGGTTGTTAATAGCTTTTCTGCAGAACACGGGACTGGGAGAGATGCCGAAGGTAGACGTCAACATCAACCCTTCTGCTAGGGGTCATCACCATTCTCCCATCCGTGGCATATGTACTTCTTCCGCACCACTAAGGCTTATCACGCAGAAGTGGAAAATCAGGATACATGTCCTTTAAGATCGGGTTCGCTTTCCGCTGCCACCAATGTAGCGTCCCGAGACTCCCTGAAGACAAAAGAAGACACGAAACTCGTGCAGAATACATATATTCAGCACGGAGAAGGTGTCTGGGCTATTGGCATGGCCCAAAAGGCCGGCCCACCCAGCGAGGTACAAGGGAGCTAATTCAAAGTCCAAAAGTGGCGCCTCACCAGAACCGAGGGATAAACCACTATCGTATTACACTTATTTACCATTATATTAGGTGTTAGCTGGACCCAAAATACCAAGCTTACCATCATTGTATAACACTTGTTTTCTTTAACACAATTATTTGATGTTTTGTTTGATTATGTCTGAATAGATAGGCACGTTAGTCCTTTAAGGTTTAATATCCACCCAGAAGCATGCGTTAGTAGTGTAATACGATAATGGTTTATCCCTCGGCATTGGTGAGGCGCCACTTTTTTACCTTGAATTACCTCCCTTGTACCTCGCTGGATGGGCTGGCCTTTTGGACCATGCCAATAGCCCAGACACCTCTCCGCGCTGAATATATATTCTGCCCGAGTATTGTGTCTTCTTTCGTCTTCAAGGAGTCCCGGGACGCTACAGTAGTATATGCCCTCCCAAACCAATTTGGCCCATCACGACTTTAGAGAAGAGCAGAAACACTATATTAATTGGTGGATTTGTGAAAAGGGTGCGGAAACTATCAACGCCACAACGCAAGCAGAATTTGCTGAAACAAAAAAAAACCACATTTTCGATGGCAGTAAAATTAGCATTTCCGTGCCATAGGCTGAAAAGTAAATCAGACACACTTCGTTCCATTATTTGACTCACTGTGTTTGAATTATATTCCTTATAAACCACAAAAATCTACAATGAAATGAAGAAGCCCTCAAAGTATGAGTTTGTTTAACCCCAAGAATAGAACGGCATGTTGTACAAATGAGAAAAAGTCAGGGCTACGTAAATTTAATGTAACACGTTGAATGTTTAACTTCCACTTTTGAGAAAAGGGACCACTATGGGCCACCACCATTGCGCCCTCGCCGAATGGGCTGAAATTTGGACCATGCCAGTACCAACAAGCCCTTCTGTAAGCCGAATATAAATACATTCTACCCAAAAATATTACATCTTTTTATAAGGTCCTAGAGAGTCAGTTTGTTGTAGCAAAAAGTGGAATGGCCAAATAATCCTAGCATATGAGTCGAAGTAAAATTTGGTATGGTGGCTGATTTCACCATTTTGCCTAGTCTAGTTACTTTTAAGCTAAAAAATAGAAACACAGTTACAGTTTCGGGAATGGATGTTTATTTGTAACTACGGTATTTTAGTGTTCGCATCATTTTTACTCGGGTGGTAAAATTGTCAACAAAAACAAGTTAAAGACCCACAGATGGGCAGTCTTGCATCTAAAAAAATTTTATTTTGGTTTTAAAATTCACGGACGTTTAAGAGTTACAACCTACCTATTACTAAAAGAAATATTTCGTTTTGTTTAAATGCGCTTACTAGCAGTAACTTTCGATTCTGTACTTGCCGCTTCAGGCTCACTTGTTGACCCGAGAGTTTTGTGATGGTGGGGTCTTGTTTTCTTGTATTTTTTGCAATTTTTTTGGCTTTTTGCTGGTCATAACTCTCGACATTTCTGCTTCTAGGCTGACCAACTTACAGAGGAACAGATTGCGGAGTTCAAGGAGGCGTTTTCCTTATTTGATAAGGATGGTGATGGAACAATCACCACCAAGGAATTAGGGACGGTCATGAGGTCACTCGGTCAAAATCCCACTGAGTCTGAGCTTCAAGACATGATAAACGAGGTCGATGCAGACGGTTTGTTTTATGCTTATATGCTGTCATGTTCACAGGTAATGGGACGATCGATTTTCCTGAGTTTCTTACAATGATGGCCAGGAAAATGAAGGATACCGATAGTGAGGAAGAAATCCGTGAGGCTTTCCGGGTATTCGACAAGGATGGAAATGGTCTCATCTCCGCTGCGGAGTTGCGGTACGCGCGCATTTGTTTCTTATTCTTAGGCATGTTATGACAAACCTTGGCGAAAAGCTAACCGACGAGGAGGTTGACGAAATGATCCGCGAGGCTGATATTGATGGTGATGGTCAAGTAAACTATGAAGGTAAGTCATGTCTGCATGCTTTTATTTTATTGTCTTTCTCGCGTTCCCGTGTCTCATGTCTTCTATTTATGTCCCCCACTCCATCTGTCGTGATTGATGTCGTCTCCGCCAATTTCCTCGACCTGTCAAGAATTCGTCACGATGATGCAGTCGAAGTAGCCTCAACCCGTCACAAAGCGGAATCAGTTCAACGTATTTTCACGTTATTTGGCGTTGACGAATTCCTCTGACTGTCTTGTTTCTGACGTGTTGATATTTTTCACAAAATGACTTCGTGTTATCATTCCGTGCTCAAGCAGCTGAACAAAAGTTTATGTTATATACCTAGATATATGCAACATACTGCGATTGTAAGACTCGCTTTTGCGCTCACGGCCCTCATAATTCTCACATTTGGCATATCGCAACTAAACACCATAAAGTCCCAGTAAAACTATGTACTCCCTCCTTCATTTTCTCTATGCTGGTTCAAGACCTTGATTCTTGCTTAGATCCCGGTCGAGTTGTGTATTCCCCCGTTGATGTCATGACTTGGCTTTTCCACAAGAAAAAATAGTACAAAAGTAGGCTTTCCGTACATGTAGTACGGCTAGGGGGTGTCTCAGTGGTGGTGCTTCCCGGAGCTCTCGGTACGTTGTCCGCCCCGTGTCTCGGTGTTGTGTGGTGCTCCATCCATTCTTGATGAATGGTGGAGATCTGACGCGTTTACTTCTTTTAGAGTTCGTTACTATGATGACGACGAAGTAGTCCACGTCTTCAACTCATGTACCATCGAGTAAATGTGGCATTCACTTATTTTCTTTCCATTTAACTGCGTCCGCTTATCGTCTCTCGCACCTTCCATTGCATGGGTTCCTGAGAACATTTTATCACCTATTTATTTGCTTACTGATATCGACCACTGGACCCGTGAAGGGACCAGATCCCTGGTTATGATGTGCGATCTGTTCCCATTTCTCCCTAATTTCCCGCCTCCACTGTACATTTCCGTCGCAAACGAACCTACTTAAGTAGATTCCACAACAAGGTTTTGTGTTTAGTGGTCCTTACCAGCATCAATGGCTTTTCCAAGTATTCCTTCATCAGGTCATCAGCCTCTTATCTTTAGAAGCCCACTCAAAAATCTGCTTTCGTTTCTCTATTAAGCTAAATGCACAGCAGTGGAGATGAGCCTATAGGATGAGTGGTTGACCTCCTATCTTTGCCATCCCTCCGCATCCATCTCGAAATCTGTTTCCAATTTATTTAACCCATCCTTGGCTGCGACAGTTTCTTGCTGTGCGAAGCATGGATTAAATACCAGCTGCCAATGGCAACATTCAAATACATTATTCTTTACGTACATGACATGGTATCTTTTCATTAGTGGTTTTTGATACGGGTTGATACTCTTATAATTTGATGCCAAGACATCACCGGGGTAAGTACCTAACGTAAAGTGGGTTGGAGCCATGCATCTGCTTCGGGAATTTTGCAGGTACTCGAGTGTAGCCCTGTCTCCTGTATACTTTTCGTCTGTACAACTTGTAGATGTCCTTGTCGTAGGGGGTAGTACGGTTGGATGCGTTGGTGGATTTGTTTGCACTGCTTGGTTTCATTCGCAGGTTTCCAAAAATGAAACCAGCGGCAGATGTGGTAGTGTTTTCTAAGACGGAGGCGTTGGCATTGTTTATTTGCATGTGCCAATCCATAATGTCCGCCTTCAGATCGCGTTGACATTCGCGAAGTTTCCGCCAGGGAACAGCCCCATCTTTGATAGACTTGGAAAAGACTTCTGCCTCGATGCAGTATGAGGCAAACGGTAAGTGTAGTCTTGGTTACTATTTTTCTGCGGATGCCTGCATGTGTATTGTTTCGTCGCAGTTAGCAATTTGTGTGGAGGTCTACGATTTACCAGGCATTAAAGGAGATCAAAGCAAGCGGAGGTGGTGGGCATGCCCAGTGACGAGCAAAAGGTCGAGTAGGGGGACGCAAGGCAGTGCTTCCAACCTAATGGTCTCCCAAGTTGCCACTCAATTTAGCCTTCTCTCTCACCCTCGATAGCTCCTGCTGCTGCCTCCATTCCGGCCCGCCGCGTGTATGCGACGAGCTGAGTTAAGATAGGGGCAACGCCTATCCCTGCTTTTATCCTAATTGCTAGTCTCATCTCTCCCGTCTAATTCACACCGGTCTAATGGACTTGTTTGAGGATGTCCTACGGATTCGTAGGCAACTCTCCCTCTCCAGTATGCTACGTTCATGGTACGATAAGTTACCAGAGCTTAGAAGGGCCCTGTGGTAAAAGTGAATGCAGGGAGAAGGGGGAGAGGGGAAACAAATGGGGATGTTTGAAGCAAGGTTCTCTGGACAAGCTTGTTGCTCAACTGGAAAAAAGTTACGCGTTCCATTGATGCAGCGTTGCAGTTGTCGCCATCAGAAGGTGGCATGTAATTCTGTCAGGCTAACTGCACGTGAAGCCAGCGCAGTGATGTAACATCGTGGGTTACAGCAAATTTTGGCGTCAAATTCCATCATAATTACCAGTGCAACCACAATGTGATGTGTTTTGCACTTTGAGGACAACATTTGGATTGATGACGTTAGGCGAGTTGGCCCAACTCGATTCGTGGTAAGTTCGCGCCCTTAGATGTAGTTTACGGTGCCTAAATGGAAGTACATTGGAATATTTGCCGCCACCATCGTTGAAGCATTATGAGTGCTCGTTGAAGTGCGAGGAGGCGAGGCGAAACAGACCCAACTGCTTGGGGACTTCGTAAACGGTTCTTGGCACGGGTGGAGTTAACACCTCGCAGCATTAAAATTTGATCATGGAAATGAAATCTTGGGTGATCATGAAGAGCTTGAGTTTAGTTTAATTATTCGTTTTTGTCAACATCTTTGACAAGACATTTCAAAATAGTTAGGCTTCTATACGGATTTAAAGTCTGTTGAGGTGCTCCAGCAACTAATTGTTGAATCAACTGACCGAGGCTACTGTGGTCGACTGAATTGGCCAAAATTGTGGAACGCTTTTAGCCTTGGCCCGGAGACATTTCAAGTGAAGGAGGGGATGGGGGAGGAACGAGTAAAATGCTCGCATGATTTGAATAATTAAGTAACCTCTGTGATAGGGTGTGCCTCGGGGAAATCACAGCATACTTCGAGCCACTTTGTAGCACGCGTATACGTTCTATGACTCCCGGTTGGAGTGATGCATGGCTTTAGCAATAGTGGACGCGTGAAATGAGCTCCTACACTCCAAGGCGAGATATTCGTTTCTAGTATTAAAGCACAACAAGCTTGAGAGGTTTGTCAAAGTGAATAAAGGGGCGGATCCCCCAGCCACTTCTCCCTGTGCATGAATGGTTAGAGCGCACAACCCGATGTACGCGAAAGAGCAAATTTTCTCAAGGTTGGTGGGGCGTGCAATCACGTCTCCTTCTGGTTGGGCGTTCTTTCTTTTTCCAAACTCCACTAAATTTTGCAGTACTGCGTGAAAAAAAAAAAAGCAACACCGTGATGATGGTGGAGGCATTTTTTTCTAAGAAATTCCGGTTCTGGGCATCGGTCCCTGCTTGGACTTGGTTAGGATTGGAAAGCTATTTCCTTCCATTATCCTCTTTTTCTTTAGGGGGATTTGAAGGAAACAGGAGATAGCACTTCCAGAGGCCCTGACATCAAAATGTCAACAGTGACCTGTCACCTTTTTTACAAGCTTCAACGCTTCTTCTAGGGAGTGAGATTTCAATAGTGCCTAAAGACATGATTTTGCTGCCTGGAGGAGAATAGTGGCTTTCTAATTTTATCAAAAGCAAAATGATTAAATTTTCCATAGCAATGTAGTAATTCAAAAGCTCCCGGCCTTTCAACTTCCGGTATCAGTGGATGATGAGGAGTAGGTGGCATGTAACTGCTTGAGTTTGCAATGGAGATTGGGTTTTTCAAGTTGGACAAGAGGAAATTTGAATTCGGTCGCCTGTGAGGGTAATTAAAAGCCCGTATACACCGACTCTGCCTCTTTTCATCCCTTGGCGTGTCGTAACATTGACCCGTCCATTGTTTACATTTTCAGTCTTTGCATTGAGACGGTGGTGCGAGAATTGAGGGTCAGTCCTCGTGCTAATCACCTTTCCATCCGGATCAAACTGATAGATTTTATGAGCCCACCCAATCCATTGCTACGACGTAGTCGGCAGCGCGGTTAAACAGCTACCCTTCCCCCCTATCCATCAGTGTAGAGCAACAGTTGTTGAGATGTCTGAAAGCCACACTTCTTGATGATGGGTGGGTGGCCGGTGAAGTCAGTGATGCGCCAAATTGTAGCCAGCATTCTCCCAACAAAAAACGACTAAATGGTGCGCACTTTCAATCGCTTATACGAGGGTTGATTCAACATAAGCTTTCCCAAATTTGTGCTTTTGGCGGATTTTTCAAGACGCATACATGTAGATGGGAAAAGGCATCAAGATAGAAGAGTCCCTCCTCTTGAGCTAACATGAAGATGTTCTTCTACACTCATTCTCTCCGTACTTAGCCTCTCTTATTGATGCCAAATAAAAGGTGTGATTCCTTTTTCAATGGCGTTTGACTTACTGCGCCTCTTTCAAGTCCTTGACCCTTTTAATATAGAGAGACTGCATCACACCGCCTAGTATTAATAGCCGCCGATGTCCACACAATGGTTCAAGGTAATTATGTGAGGTGGCATAACTTCTCCATCTCAAAAAAGTGGTAGAACTTGAGAGACCTGAGTTGTCTTGCCCATGGGCAGAGGGAATGGGACATGGGAAAAGCGGCAAGTTACTTGTAAAAAGACCAACTAAGTTGTGGACCTGTTGCCAGCCTTAATTTGAAAGTTGCTTAGGTATTTCTAAACCCGAGTCATAAATCATGCTTTGTATATGGTAAAAATGGTAACGTTCTATTTAATTTGGCTATTCTTCTTGGCTTCTTCTATCAACCCAATCATCTACTTGCTGCCTTCTCAAACCTGTGCCCTAGCTTAATGGAACGCTGTTTTTCCCTCCACCCATTTAGTTTTCTGGTCAATTAATTTTCTACTTCCAACGTAAGAAGGCCTTTTTTTCACATTTGGTAAATGTTCACTTAGAGTAGACTTGCCTCCGCCAAATGTGACTGTCTTGCTTTGCAGAGGGAAGAAAGCTTCCACGTACGGGTTTAACTTCCGTGGTTCTCTTTTCATCCAACTTCCTTCATTCCGTTCCATTTTTACAGCAATTCATCAAAGTTAAGGCATGGAACTTCTGTTATGCTCACTCCCCTCGTGTTTGGATTGAGAAGATCGGAGAGTGGGGAGGGTGGAGGCTTTGTGGTGTGGTGAATCACTTCTAGGTGCTCTACGCGTCAAAGGCATTCTTTCATGACTTAACTGGCACTCTGATAAAATGCTACTTTGTGAAGCGTTGTCGTCATTGGAGACGTCTCGTGATTGCATTATTCAATGTGGTCAAAGGTAATATTTTCACGCCTTGCATGGCACGGAAGGCCGGTTGGTGCTGCGCCTGTGAATGCGTGCGGATGTGCGTACGCGTGCACGTGCGTGTGCACGGGTGCGTAGAGGAGTAGAAACAGGAGATCGGATTTCCCCTCGCCGCGCCTAGTCTCTCGCTGGACGTGATTATATTATCGATCGCACGGGCGCAGAGTACGGGTGCGTGCGTGCACCTCAGTGCTCACCCCAATGCGTTCTCGCGCGCACGTGCTACCCCTTGCATAGGCTTAAGAAGCCTCGAGAAGATACACCAGTACTAGCGATGGTACTACTACCAGTATTAGTAGCATTACCGCTCGTCGCACACCTCTACCCTGACAACAAACACGCCTCAGTGACACTCGCATTGGTCTTAATTGCAGCAGTAGAATCTAAATATATTCGAGGCTCACATTGCCAGCTTTCCCTGGGTGGTTCTGTGAGGATGGTCATATCAACCATTGAGACAAATAAGTTTGTTTTAGATTCTTTTACTGCCTCCTGACAAGTAAGGAGGGGAAAACTTCAAGTGCTTTAACGAAGGAAAGATGCACTTTTAAGCACTGAAATGCGGCGGAGGTATCGTTGTCTACCCCTTCTTCTTCCATCGAAAGGAAGGGTTATAAATTCTAACGAAATCGCAAATACTGTCAGAGCACTAGAGATGCTCTCCCAAGTCCCACACTTTGAGGCAGTAAAATAAAGGGGCGAAAGTGGAGGAACAGAAGTTCCCATGGAAATGGCTAAATAAGTGTCCGCAACTCTGTGTGCAGAAACTCCTGCTTTTGACCAAACACGGTTTTTTCCTGGTATAAAAAACTAAACGCTAGAAATCACCGGTTTTATACTATGGGTTGCAAGTTGGGTGTAACTGCTGCTTGACTTTGAAAGGAGACTACCTTGGAGATCCGGTTAGACGAAAGGGGCGAAATTTGGACTGCTCTGGGTTTTGCAGTGATGGAGTAAAATAAAAATTAATTCCACGTTCTGTAACTGGTTTTTCTCTCCCGATTTTCAAGGATTATGGTGGTTTTAATGAAAAAATGAATCGGATTTCTGTGAAATTAGCCTAAATACTGACGAGAAAATGTAATAATCCGGTGAAATAACCACTAGATGGTAATTTAGCCATGATGGCGGTGCTAGACCGTACTAGGAATGCATATCATTACCTCACATCCAATTCAATAGGTAATTCTCCTGCTAAAAATCTGACAAGGCGTATTCCAGGTGGCAGAGGATGCTGTCATTTTCCCTAGTTTCGATGCTGAAGCGACTTGTGTCGACCGATGTTGCAAGTTCCTCAGATCCACCTTTGGTACGAGCACTTTGACCCTTTCAAATGCCAAACTGCTTGTCTATTTGTATAGCCCATAAGTCCATTTATGTGAGGGAAGGAATTTTTAGCCCTCGAAAGGTTATTCTTTGCTTTTTTCCTCACTGGAAAGAGGAAATGCTTGCAGTACATTAACTAAAGGTGAATCGGGAGGACAACGATTCTGGACCAAATAACCTAACATAGGTGATGTACTATAAGGAAAGGCTTGCAAAGTGAAATTAGTGCCACATCTCCAATCTGGCGAAAGAAAAAAGAAAACGAGTGAAACACTTGGTGACATCGGACACATAAAGGTCACTAAGCTAAACGGCGTGCTTGCCGCTGGTGGACGAAGACTTCCTGACGGATAGGGTATAGAAATAAATAAGAAGGAGGATGGTGTTATAAGAAAAAAAAGTTTAGAGCATTAATAAGCGGACGAGGGTAGCCACCTACATTTCCATTTCTTCATCGGAGAAAGGGATATTGAATTCCTTCGAATGAGTTGAGGCAAGATGGAAATTTGATGCGGGAAACACAGCCACTACATAGGAAGCATAAAGAATTTTTTGAAAAAGTCAAGAAGTTTTTTGCGCAAAAGTAATTGATATTTGAGATTTCTTGGTTTCTGTCAACATAAATGCCCTTTGAGTCTTTAGAATTGTCCGTAGAAAGTGGGTACAAACGGAGATGAAAGGCTCATCAATTCATACACAGAGTATCCAACTCAAACGATGACATTTCTGAAAGTCCTCTTTTGTGTAGCCTCCTCTAGGGATGTACTTGTGTAAATGGTTTGTTTTACTGAGTAAAGACAACTTATGTAACTATTTTTAGTTTTTTTTTCGGTTATGAATAAATTTGGACAACACGTGAATTTTAAACACCTAGGAGTCGCTTGAATTCTAGCCACAATCATACTGTCGGTGGATCGCTTCTCCGGGAATGAATTATTTGAAGGGCACCAACGCTTAGGGTGGAGCATCTCTAGACGGATTTGTTGACGGCCCATAAATACCGTCAAATGTCCTTTTCGTGTTCATGTTTCCTGTAAATATTATTAACGCTCTCAAGTACGGGATGACAATAGCCTTGGCAATAAAATTTCCGACTTTTTATGCAGAAGCCTGAAAGAGTAGTCAAGTGAGGCGGTAGGTGTGGCATCTGGATGAAAGCAGATACAAAAGCGAGATTTCGTCCATTTATCCTTTTCACTGCGTAGGAGGTTGTGGCCGTAATGCCCCTTGTTGCGACAGATCGACGCGACAGAGTTAACAGCCCGTGCCAAAACTGTAGCCTCAGCAAGCCTCGGCTCCAACAGCATGGGACTTGAACTTAATGTGCGCACATGGCACTCGTGGGCCATTACCAAAGTGTTGTCCTTAAGCGACGCGCTATGCAAGACGTCTCTCTCTCTTTCTCTGATGTGCCAAATCTTTGTAACCCCCTTGGATCGGTGGAGGTAGACTAAATCCACACTTCGTCTACCATATTTGATCATAAAATTGACCATCTCGGTTTAAATTTCGGGTATCTGGGCTGCGAACTCCAAGATAATAATAGGGTGCCAAAAAATTATGGCCAGCTTGAGTTTCCTATGCACAGAGGGTGTTGTTATTCAGAAAAAAAGGCATGTCATTTAAAAAGCTAGAACATAGTGATGGTTGGCATTAGATTGCTCTCTCGTACTTGCTCCTGTCATTTTGACACTGTTTATAATAGAATATTTAATCTGGCAGGGTAAGGCTGAAATGTCTCTATTCTTTGCATTTAGATGCTTTAAAGTCAACGTAACAACAATCTCATTCCAGGCAAAGAATGTTTTCCGTTCCTCGCATAACACCTTGCATCCCATCCCGGCACAACTGCCACCTACAGAAGCACTTGTGAATCCATATTTCATTCCAGCACAATTGCAACCAATTGGGATAGCTAGTATTTTTTCTTTTAAGCCTTCAAATTAATTCCGTTTAAAGGTACAGGAAAGCGTGTTTTCATAGTCACCTCATGAATGACAAGCCTCCACTGTTTGTTGATGAGACTCCTATACCAACTTGAATAACATAATCATTTTTTTCTCTCTAATTTTCCCGAAAAGGGCAGTAATTGACCAAAATCGTGTCTTTCTCGCCTGACGTTAGCTTAGCGAAGCACTGAAGGTACGGGCTGACATGATGCCGATTGGCCGAATCTGGGTTGACCTGTAAACAAATAATTCTAACGGCATGCTCTGACCTTGAATGCTAATCGCTCCAATGACGATGGCCGTGCCTGTGTGTCGAGGCTTATCCCATCGCCCTTTTAAATTATTTTAGATTAAGGTTTGAAGAAGAAGGGTTAGCAATTCTTCATTGCCTTTAATGTGTCTGGTTGAATCCAACCACCGACTTTTAATTATGTCTGAGTTTTGAAGGAGAAAAAAACCCAGCTTTGTCCAAAAGACTATACATTGGGCATTTTTTTGAAACGTTTTTAATGCTAGCCTGCGCATTTGTAAACCATCCACTGTGATAAAAGATACGCTTTTGCCTATTCAGGTGGGACATTGTGGGCTATCCGTAGGCGGGAAGACGCAATCTCGGTTCACATTAAAGGTGGACGAGCTAGCAAATCTGCTTTTGGGACCTTCACATAGACCTTGGAAACAGACAATTTAATTGCCTCTCGTAGCTTAGATACCATTATAAATATTATGAATAAATGCCTTAGCTAGTATCAATTAGACCAATGCAACTGGGGAACAATTAGGACACAAAAGAAGAGGAGTTAATTGCCCTTTTTTGGCTATTATGAATAACCTCAAAATTGAGGGTGATTTTTGGAGTAAACAGTCGCACCCAGTGGTTACATTCCATGTTGCGCTTTTATCGGTGTCGCCAGGAGAAATAAACACATTTTTTGGCCAGGCCAACTAACTAGTTGGAGATCATGTAAAAAGTCCATCCGAGTTTTTAGGCTATTTGTTTACCCGCTCCCACTGAACATGAATATCATATGAGGAGGTGTATGTGAAGGTGTAAAAAGGCGAAACGTATTGGGAATTTTTATTTTTGTGACCAAAATGGTGGAGCGCGTTATCTGGGGAAAGTATCACGCCCACACACTTAGGGGGAGAGAGAGTGGGAACAATACTCCTCTCAGGAATGAAATGTCAAGTGAAAGGGTGACAATTAGGGCTGCGGGGATGGGAAAAATGAATATATAAAATAATCACGAGGATTGTGTATTAATTGTGATTGACACAGTAATTTCGCACAACCAAATTTCCCACTTCGCATTTAAAGTACAGTTTAGGCGAAATCTACACAAATTTTTGGAGTTTGCAGACACTTCTCTTTGAACTTTTCATACTGTATGTCATTTTGTAGGCGACGTCCACCCTTCGGGAATATTAATATTGCCGAGAACCTGACGAGAAACTGCAAGAGGTGTTACCATTTGTACAAATGCATACACCAATGTTGGGTGCAAAAATCTCCGCCGCCTTCTTATTTTGTCGGTCTTAGCATGTCTGCTTTTGGGGTCGCATCGGTTACCACTGGCCACCGGAAACAAATTATGGGGAGACAGCCCTCCTCAGGCCGGGAAAATCCACCATCCGTTGCATTGTTTTGAGGCCAAACGTCACATTACTTCAACTAAAAAATTTTAAAAAAACTTGAAATCTAATGTATAAAAGGCAAAATAGGCAAGTATTTATTAGAAGTATCACTTGTGATTGAAATTAATCTACCTACAATTAAAATAAGCAGCATCAAGTCGGATTTCTTTCCCTTATTTTGGCTACCTTACCCAAAATACCTTCGAAATATCACAACATTACCGTTTGTGGAAGAGATTCGAACAGTCTAGGTTAGGCCTTAGAAAGTGCTTCAAACTCTACTTTCCTGGAGGGGGATCGGAGACAACTGTGCATGTGTTGAGATTTACCATTTGTCTATTTCCTTCGGCGTGACAGATAGACTAGAAGATACGTCGTTTGTTCTTTTTCTGACTTAACCACGAACCATCCGTTGAAGCGGCCGTCAAAAATCACGAATTCGTTTTTTTCAAAAATAAGCCAACTTCAGCGCCCTAGATTTGAGTACTCTCGCCCTTACTTTCAAAAAAAAAGAGGAGAAAGTGGAAAAGATTCAATGAATGGAGTCTCGCTTGATTTTTTAAAAATGCACGACCTTCCTTTTTACTGTTTCTAGCAGCTGAACTGCCTCTCAGACGCTAGGAGTTCTTACTTCATCCAAAAGTGATGCTTTTACGTGTCTACACGCATAGCACCGCCACTTAAAAAATCACTGACAAAGGCGGGCTCGAGAACCACACCTCAATGAGATCACTCCCAAGTTATATGGCGCTGACTCAAAGCATTAAATCCTCTCTTGCCAGATGCTTTTCAAGGAGGTGAAGGCAGCAGTTAAGTGGAATCAGTAAACACAGGAGTCTGTCGGTCATTTTTACTTCTAAAGCGACCATAACGCCTGACAGAAAGGACGTGACTGGACCAGTTATGGTCGTTTCCACCTGCATTCACATTAATTCCAGGTTGGGGGGTTGACAAATACAGGCTTTGCATCAACCCATTTCCAATAAAATGGAGGGTGTGTATGTGAACCAGTGAATAATTAATACGTCTGAAGCTTCCAGATCTGCCGAGAGAGGACAATAAACATTGTTCTGCCTTCTGCTTCTATTCCTCACCTCCGCTGAAGTAATTTCAGTAAGCTAGAAATCTATGGAAACATAAAATTTAATGAAAACTTATGAGGATTTAATGGACCTAAGATGTCTCACTTTATACTACCCTGGCTCCTTTTTAATTTGCTCTAAATTGTTAAGGTTTCATTACATTTTATCTAGGGTGTGTTTGAATAAAAATGTTCTTAATGGAAATAAGGTAAAAATTCATCATTTTGTTCTCAGCAATTCCTTAAATTAATAAAATTTAACGTTAAATCCTCCTGCCTACGGATACACTCAAACTGATAACTTATTCATAAGACGCTTTGTAGCGTCCCTAGATCGTCCTGGAGACGGGAGAAGACATAATACTCGGTCGGACTATGTATCGTAGGTGCACAGCGGAGCTCTGGAGCTACTGGCATTGTCCAGAGTCAGGGCCTCCCGATGGAGGTACAATGGCGGGGCCCTCAGTTGCCCGTTACCAGAACTATGAGTTAAACTAAAAATCAAAGCATTACAATAAGAAATTTGAAAGTAGGCATCTTTGATGCGAAGTAAAACAAATTTTGTGGCATTGAATAATAAAACCACTCTCTCGCATCGACTGCAGTGTCGTAAATTGCAATGAGACTGGAGGTCAGGGGTAATTTCATAAGGACTGCCAACATCCGTAATGCAAAATCTGATGTAACAGGATTCTTCATATATAAAAATAAGACTGTTTTGCTTAGAAATCACAGAAAAAGTCAAAACGATGTGATATTAATAAACTACCTAGAGTTGAATAACAAAAGTATATTGAAAAAAGGCGACATGACAGTTATTGACACCTCACCAGCAGCATAAATTCGCCCTCGAGTTGTCCTAGTATCTGACTGCTGGGAGAATATTCAATTTTATAATATGCATATCTAGTAACATTTTCCACAAGAAAGTTTATTGAGTGCTGATAACTCATCATAATAACTGCGGTTATCTAACAACGCCAGTGACCTTAGCTTTAGGCAGTGGCCTTATTCCTCACTAATCTCCTAACGTTTAAATTATAATCAGCATATTATAAATGTACTTCCAATGGTTGCATAGAAAGCCGTGCTCATTAAGTGTGTTGATGAAGCTTACAGTCATCCATTTGACTGAGTGACCATTTGTCCAACCAGCTCCAAATTTTGTCACTAAATTGGAGTCATTAACTTGGGTATTCAAGCTCATAACACCTCCTTCTTGCCTGTGAGCTGAAGAGAAAGCTGGTCAATTATTTACTGAAATTAATTTAAGGTTACAAACTTCAAATATTCCCGATTGTTAGCTTAATAATTCGTTTTATTCCGATGGGCACTTAAGACTCCGCCTTTGTACTTCCGCTGGGTGGCATGGTCTCCGGCCAGGCCAGCAGCTCTCTAAGCCATTCCCTACGTCGGCTGTACATATTCTGCCCTAAAATTATGCCTTCAGTCATCTTCGGGGAAGTCTCGAGGCGCCATAGTACACTGAAAAAGGTTGGTGATACTTTGACCTTCACTTGAAAGTAAATGAACAGAACTCTAAAGTACCTTAACTTTCCCATAACCTGATTTATGTGTAGACCTTTAACAGGCTAGTTTACCATCTTAGGCATGTACCTTTATATAAGCTATTTCATTGCGTCTATCTCCTAGAGCCGATAGATGGAGGTGTCTCCCGGCTGATAGTGTGCCTGAACGAGAGGAAGTGAGGCACTCATACAAGTAATGCTAAGGATTGTGAGACCCAGCGTTTCTGAACGATTTGATGACTTTAGAATGGGAAATTATTAAGCAATTGCAATTCCTTCTTACCTTACCCCTCGCCCCTCTCTGTTACTTATGGTTATTTAAGGTGGGACGCACGTCAACATGTCAGCTTAGAAAGTATTTTCAAAGAAAAATTTCAACTTTATGTGGGTCCAATTTATGTACTGTTAAGTCCTGCCTGACAGTTTTTATTGATAAATAAAGTGGGTATACAAAAACTCTTGTCCATAGGGGCTCTGATTTTGGGCTTTCAGCTGTGATACATACATAAATCATGGAGAAACAACATGGCGGAGAAGCAAAAACTGCATGCAAACTCACCAAAAACATGGACAGTTGCTAATTTATCTCCTTATTTGGATATTGCCGTTGTACTTACCTGAGAAGTGTACTTTTGTGAGCTAGACTCCTTATAGACAAACAAACTAATCAAACAAATCTCGCGTCTGATCTGACAGACGTACTTAATGTCCACTTATTACGGAGCAAAACTAGTAGTCGACAAAGGGAGATTCTCTCTAAGAGCCTTACTTTAACAAGCTCTCAGGGTGCTCAGTCCATTGTGAATACGAGACAATATTCGAAAAAGGGATAACGAGAAGTGACGCGTGGACTCAGGTACGAAATCCGGGGTGTCACAAATATGTGACGCTCGTAGCGAATGCATCAAAACCTGCCCCCTCTACCTAGTTCTTCAAAGAAACGAAGTACAATTTTTCAACGCTACTTATTTGTTTAGGACTAATTAGAAAGGAGGCCCCATCACCCTCCCTTCTCTTTCGTCGGCTCAGACCTGCGCAGTTTTGGTTATTCACTTCAGAGATAGAATCTTTGTTATTCGTTTGAGGTCCCTCACTCTGCTCGACTGCGTCCCTTAAAGCATCTGTTCTGGAGAGTGAGAACAACCCTAAAATGTGCGCAATTTCATATGCAATATGCAGCATAATTAAACTGGTTCCTTGTTCGGAAGGCAACAGAAATTCGGGAAAATTTTGGCTTGAGGAGAGATTTGTGGTATTAAAAACCCACACCACGTCTTTGATCCATGATATCACTTTTTCCCATCTGTATGGTAACTATTGTGAATAATCAGCCGCTTGTCAGGAAAAAGGGCACTAATACGACTTCCGTACTTTTCACAGGACAATAAAAGCAAGAAATTTGGGTTTAGATAAGGAGGTGCCATATGCGAAATGAGCACGCACATCCGAAGTCGGGCAGCCATAAATCGTGCACTACATCGCTAGACGGGATCTTAGCCTTCCCAGTTAATAAAAAGTGTTCCTTCCAGTGTTTGCCTCTTACGCCAAAAGGTTTCGGTAGAGAGTGGCGCTCCTCCTGCTTAAATACACTCTTGTAAACGTGGACAAGTAGTCCTTCCATGCTGAGCTATGCGCTTTTACCGGCCAAATGGGTCGCAGAGTTTCTTTGATCATACCGACACACAACTTCATTGAGTTAGAGGTTTATTTTGCCTAACTAGAGCTCATGTTAGTTCACTTTGTTACAATGTTGCCCACTTCCCCTCCTTTTTTCATAAGTCTCTATTATAACAAAAGGTGGGTGGGGGAGGGGTTGGACAAAACGACAGTTTTGGCAGCGTGCTTGCACAATGCTGTGGAACCGTGCCACTGAAAGACAGTGCGATGGGATCATATATCAACATGAAGGTATGACAATCCGAGAAATCAGCTAGCCAACTCCCTTGAAACGTAAATGAGCTCTTTTGATTGACTATGTAAATAAACCACATGAAAGGCACACGAAATTGCACTACTACTCCACTACCTCGCCGCCTTCTCTCGGGACGATGTCTTCTATACTTACCTGACACCTTTCGATGAGCTTGAGGGGCGAAATATTAAGTGAAAGGGGTATTAACTATTTTTGGAAGGGGAAAAGTAATCACCAAGCCTAACGCAGGAATAATTTTTGTCGCGCTCTCGTATTCAGACCTATAGTAATAACTTATCAGCCAGATCTCAGCGCTTTTTGTAGGGCAAGCAAATAACCAGGTTTAGTGACATGGTCAACAAATTAGACTCGCTGTCGTAGGGCTCTGGAAGCAGGGCAGGAAACGAGACAAAGTAACGAATACGCATCTTCCAAGACCTGTTGGATAAGAGTGATCGCTTATTTTGTAACCACTGGTAGGGGAGTTATTCCATTCGCCCACTTCATTGTTTCCGTTTTGTCAGGCTCTGCATCTGGTGACTTCGAACGTGTTTCTTAACTTCGCCCGTTTTTTTAAGGAATTGTTGCAATCACATAGGCGTGCTTCGAATAGGTAGCAGTCAGGGCTACTCCCATTCGCCTCATATTGGGATACATTATGGGCAGTGCCTTGGCTTTTTTCCTTTTCAAAATTCCATTAGTCACAGGCAAAAAGCGGCAAATTTTAAGGACAGATTGACAGCACCGAAGAGAAGCGAAGGTCTTTTACTACATAGTGCAGCATTACGCATGAGGGCTGGTTGTTGTCTTGGTAGCTACAAGCTCCTGGGTGGGATATGCTCCTTCGATATATAAATACCTCATTATTTACTGAAATACACGGATAATGATTTGTTAAAAACTTTAAAAAGGGAGTAAATATAGTGCAATTTTTGCTTGCTGAAACCTATTTCCGGTTATTTTCTATTCGAAGTGATTTGAAAGCTTAGTGATGGATACGGCTTCGATCACTGCTTCCAGCCAGATGATTCAAAAGAAGGATTAGTAATGTTAACTGGAATTCTCAGTGCTCGAAATATAAACAAGGCATTCTTTTTACTTTAAAGAGGTCTGGGAAAATTGTAGAAAGTACTTACTTCACCATGCAGCAGATGTAACCTTGATTAATAGGTGGACTTTCGTGACTAACAAGTGCTGTTATTTCCCACGGAATGCTTGCATATTTTAATGCAGAAGTTGAGGAATGAAGGTGTAGTTCAACCCAATCGAGGAATGTACATGGGTAGATGAATCAGCCTTTTTCAGTGCGTCAGAGCGCCTCCTAACAGCGCCTCACGTTCAACGTTCAAGAGACATGGGTTGGCGCATCCATGCACATGCGTCTCCACTCTCTGCTGCTGCTTGCCCACGCCGGGCGTCATGGTTACAGACCCAACAACACGTGGAGGTGTGCACAGCCCAAGGGAAAAGAGATACTCAGCCTTAGGGATCGTGGCATGCA